TTTCCCTCTTTACTTTCTCTTTGCCAAGTGAATAATTAACCATTGGAAATAGAGCCTATAATTGTCTCCCCCATGCCCTTAAATTGCTTTCAGTTTGGGCTCTGTGACCCCTGTCTTGGGTGTGGGCTGGTCTCCCCCTCAGCAGCCTCCCAAGTGGGGAGCAAAGCTAACAAGCACCAGCTGGGGCCCCAGCCCCCCAAATCCAATCGCCAGCTGTATAGGAGGCCAGCAGCAGATGGGCGAGGAGGGTCCCCAGGCAGGTTGGGGCTGACTCAGCTGGGGTGTCAGTAGGACTATGACATGCCTGGTCAGGACAGGAAGTCTGGCAGGCAGTTACGCAGGCCGTATTTCTGAGTGATTGATGCTAGGTGGTCAAAGGACCCAACCTAGGGTGATCCCAGTTGGGACTGGGTCTCTCCTTAGGTTCTTCGGCCCACCTTCATGCCCTTGCCTAGAGGGCCCCAGGCCATCCACATCCCTGGTGCCTCAGGGAGGCCTCCTGGGAGCACAAATGGACCAGTGCAATAAGTCACAAGAGTCCAGGCCTTACAGCTTCACAAGGCCTGTTCCTTCAGGGAAACTGAGGCCTGATTAGCACCTGCCCAGCTTAGTTTTATTGGTGTCCTGAGCTCAGCCTGCGGAGGAAGCCAGGCAGCTCCACCCTTACCTGGGAAGCATCCTCTATCCCTGACTCACCTGGCGCTTGGGCTCAGCTGGGGCAGGAAGGAGAGCAGAGGGTGGGGCTGGTCTGGGCCCTACAACAGGAGGCTTAGCCCCAGCCTCCAGCTAGTAAGCTTGGTCCCTCCTTGACCCACACAGAAGGGAAGAGAATGGGGGAGGGCTCTTGTTCTTCAAGATCCTGAAGGAAGCACTCTTGCTCAGTGTCACCCAATGTGAGGCAAGGAGCAGGGGAGTAGGGTAAAGGAGAATCACCCTAAAGGAACTTCTATTTGCTCAGGGTGTAGTAAAAGGCTTGGCCTTGAACCCTAGTGCTCCCATTCACTTGATGTGTGTTTTTGTGCAAGTTACTATCCCTTGTAGGGTCTCAGTTTCCTCATCTCAAATATGAGGCAAATAATTCCACCCCTTCCACCCTCACAGGGCAGTTTAGGCAACTCAATGAGATAATGTATGTAAAAGTTGGTTTTTTTAAGTGGCAGGCACTGTCCAGGTGAAGGACACTCTGCCACAAAAGGTTACTGAGCATCACTGTATGGCCAGCACAGCACAAGCACTGAGCTCATACCAGTGCCAGTCATGGCACCTGGGCCAGGGCAAGTAGGAACAGCCATTCACAAACCTTCTGGGCTATTGGAGAGACTGCCTATGCTTTCCTTTGCCCTCTCCCACAGATTTTACTTCACACTTTCACAGCTACTCTCCAGGGGCCCCCAGGAACTCCATCCCCCACCCACCAGTAGGGTGAGGGCAACTGGTATCTTGAGGTGGGCTGGGGACCACCTAAGGACACCCAGTTAGAGAAGCGTAGGAAGGGCCCACCCAACCAGAGTGAGGATCCACCTCAGTTAGAGTAATCAATCTGGCCTGAAGCAGCCCTCATTGGAGACCCTTGGCCCAAGTTGGGCCCTACTCTGGGCAGGCAGTCAAACAACAGAGGCCCCATCTGATCCAGGCACTTCCTTTGGTTAATGAGAAACCAAATAAACAGCCTCTGCCCCAGCTGGCTCCTGGAGCACCCAAGCCGGGCCCAGCCCTGCTCCAGCCCAGCCTCCCTTACCTCCCTTGCAGGTCTCGTGACTCTGTGGCTCTTCTCCGCCTCCTTTCTCCATGTGCTTCCCACTTCCCTCACAGCCCAGCCTGCTTCTTGGCTGGTTCACTGGGACTTCCTGCTCTGGATCACGAACTAACCCTCCTCTTCCTTCCTCCTCCTTTCCTCTAGTGCCTTCTTACCCATTTTTAGCTGCTAGGATCTTACTTGTGCTCCTCTCCTGGTATCTGTCTTAGCCATCTCCACAGGGAATCTCCCCACAAGGCCTGCAGGCTACTCCAAGCTGGAGTGGGGAGGCCCAGGCCCTGTCAGTCAGGGTCTCCACCTTGGGACTGAGGCCAAACCCTCTTCAGGGCCCTCACCACACTCTCAAATCCCCAGCCTGTGGCAGGTAGACCAGATGCTCAAGGCCACTCTAACTAGGGGGCTTCAGCTGCCGGCCAGAAGCCCCCAAGTATGTCATGGTGAGGCCTCTGGGGTACCCCAGCTCTGAAGACAGGGGATAGAAGATTCTTCCAGCTAAGAAGTGAACTGGAAACCTGAATCAGCCTTAAGACCCAGTGGGCTGCAGCTGAGAGCCAGCTTTTGTGAAGTTATTTCTATCTGCTTCCAGGCATCCTGAGGCAGGGCAGGGCTGGGCCTGCCAGCAGGTTCCAGATCTAGCCCAAGCCAGGTGGTGGCAGTACTTGTAGACACACCCAAGTCCCTATGGGAACAACCCCTCCCCCATCCACCCTCTCTAATTGAGCCTAGTGCCATACTGGGCATATGCCCATGGCCAATGCCATCTTTACATTATTCCATGAAGAGGGGGAAATGGTCTAAGGCACCAGCAGAACAAGAGGACAGAGAAACTGGGCAGGAGAGCAGAAGGGGCACAGAAGACTTAAAACACCTTACTCCACTAGGATAGCTGCCCTCTTCCCACCTGTCCAGATCACGGTGTTTTGGGCACAGGAAATCTCTCCCCAACCCCCACTCCCACTCTCCCTCTCTCATACTCACTCATACACTCACACTTCATTCCCCAACATCACGACACCATTTTACACCCATTTCTCCTTGTGGTTAATTTTTTTTAGTTCTCATTTTTTTTTTTTTTCTAAGAAAAAAGCAACAAGAAAATAATTCAGAGTTTATACAAAACATCTTTACATTATTTTTTTTCCAAAAAAGACTAGTATTTACACAAATGGCAACAGAAACAAAAACGAAAAAACCCTTCCGACTGCCACCTGGAAGGGGCTGGCTGTTCTGCTCCCTCTCTCCCACCTGGCACTGGGGTAGGCAGCTGGCCAGGAGGCAGTGTGGAGGTGGATGGTGTAAGGCCCAGCTCCTTCCATGGCCACTCTGGGAGCACCTGCAAGGCACACTCAAGTGGCAGTCCGTTAGCAGCCCTGTTAGCAGCCGTGCTGTCCAGGAGCCAGGGTCAACGTGCACGGCATGCTGGCTCAGCCCTGGGCAGCCTCTTTCTCTTTCCAGCCCCAGCCCAAGATTGGGGGGCCAATGAGAGCTGGGTTGGGGGTCACCCACCTGTGCTAGAGCCCCAAAAAGGAGCAGGCTACCTGGCCTTATACCCGCTTAGGTATCTGCCCTGGGCCTCTGTCTCCCCACCAGGCCAAAGGGGCCAAAGGTGAGAAGAGAACAGGGCGGGGGAGGGGGGAAAAGGGAGAACTCCTAGCTGTGCAGGGCAAATAGCCACCTGGGCAACTCACCTCCCTCCACCCACCATGAGGTCATCTGCCTGCAGCAGCGCTCCTGTTCCCCAGGCAACAACCAATTAAGACGTTAATTACCTTGAGAGTGAGGGAGGCAGGAGATGCCCAAGAATCCCACAAGGAAGGGATTTGTGTGTGTGTGTGTGTGTGTGTGTAAGGGTGGCAGCTACTACCCCATTGCCAAGATCAGCTTTGTAGCAGAAGGGTCAGGAGGGGAGGGTGAGACACCTTGCCCAATGGCACTGTTGTCTTCCCTCATGGGCAAGAACAGCCCTTGTTGGCCCCACCCCCAATAACAAGGAGTTTATAAAAGAAATGCCATCCTATGCTTCTGGGCTGACCACATCCTGCCCCTGGCCCTTTATACTAGGCTGAGTCAGGCTCAGAAAGCCTGGGGAGAGGATGCCTTTTCCATTTTTCTTCCAAAAAAAACAGATGAAAAGGAGTTGACAGCTAAAAAATGAACACAAAAACATTAAAAACAGTGATGATAGCGGACAAGCAGTCCTGGGAAGGGGGAAAAGGGGGGAGGAGGGGAGGGCTAGGGTGGCGTCTCCCTGCCTATTGTCCATCAGTGTCCAACCCTGCCCTCCAAGAAGGGGCACCCCCGCAGAGCCCAGAGGCCTGGTCAGAGGGGGAAGGCACAAGAGCATGGGGGCTAGGGGCATGAGCACCCCCTCTGAAGCCCAGGGGCAGGGCAAAAGGGGGATTATAAAAGCCAAGAAACTACAAAACTAAATACAAAGGTGGGCACAGCTGGTAAGGAGAAGGGCGTGGGAAGAAAGGAGAGGTGTGGTCCCCGCCGACTGTCCCTTAGGGCCTGAGGCTGCGCCGGGCTCTCAGACCTTGTAGTAGATGTTCGCTGGGCTCTGGGGTGGCATCTCTTGGACGATGTAGACGGGGTGCCCGTAGTCCCCACTCACCTTCTCATAGTGGGGGCAGTAGTTGTTCTCTGTAGTCCGTAAGGGGATGATGATGTCGCTGGGCTCCGTGCCCGCCGTGCCACTGCCCCCCTTGGGACTGGCCAGGGTACTGAGTGAGAGGGCGGGTGCCCGCTGTTGCGTGTGCTTGCGGTGTCGCTTGCGCAGCTTTAGCAGCAGAACCGTCAGGAATATGATGATGAGCAGGAAGATGACACAGCCAGCGCCAACGGCTGCAAACAATGCCACCTTGGAGTTGAAGAAGTTGTCAGGGTCCCCGCTGCTGCCTCCACTCCCACCTGAGCCACTCTTCTCTTCCTGGTTCACAGTCTCTGAGGAAGGGGAAGGGAGGGAAAGAAAAGTGAGGGATACAGTGTAGATTTCAGACTAGGCCTCGTCCTGCCTTTCTTCAGAGACAGGGCCTGAAAGGGCAGTGGGCAATGGCTTCTGCCCTCTGGGAGACACCCATACACTCACCATGCTTGCCATCAGAGTCACCCAGGGACCCCCGACCACCGGGGGCCTGCGTGGCCATCTTGATAGTATTGTCATCCTCCTTTTTGGGCCGTCTAGTAGTCAGCTGCTCAGGCGTCACAGCATTGGGATCTATGGGTAGAGAGAGGACAGGTGAGGGAAAGGGATCCCACCAGCATGGGGGCCTCCATCATCTAAGGTAGGCCTAATATGGCCTGTATACCAAACCTCATCTACTCTAACTCTATAGCCCCCTCCTCTACTCCCAACACACTCACACCCAGTCAGGGACATTTGTTTCAAAGGCCTAAATGGGGTCCCTCAGATTGGGCACTCACCTTGCCCGACCTTCATGATGATCTTCATGGTGCGTGTGCGGCACACACCTCCTTCCCGGTTCTCCAGTCCCTCCAGGCTCCCATTTGATGTAGCTACAGCAAGAAGTCAGCACCATCAGGAGGACAGACAGGCCTGCTCACATTACCCAGAAACCCTAGTGCTGCCTTAGTCCCCATTAGGACAGAACTGGGAGGAGGAGAGTGGCAAGGAGCCCCCACCTACCCGTGACCCTTCAAACATCTTTCCCTCCCACAGGGACAGAGTAGCCAGTCCTGCCCTGCCTGGTCAGTAACTACCTCTCCCCAAGGGTGCTGCTCATGACCAGGCCCTGGCCCTTGTGTCTTCTCACTGGGCAATGTTGCTCAGCAGCAAAGCAATCAGAACTGGCATCTTGAGGGAGGCTTTTACACACACTGGAAGAAACCCTGGAATAGGGGGCCAAGAGAACCATGTTGGAGTCCCAATCCTATCCCAAACTTCCTGTGTGATCTAGGGAAAGAAGTCCCTTCCCCTCTTGGGGTGGCAGTTTCCCATAAAGAGAAAAGCCGAACAGCTGGTTGACCCCCAAAAGCTCTGCCAATTCTGCCATTCCCAAGATTGGATCTTAGGTGGGCAAATAAAATAAGATAGAGCACCACAAATTGGAGAAATCTCCCACTCAACTCCTAGAGCCGAGGCGAGCTGGCAGTGAACCCTTGGTAAATATTAGGGCCAGAATTCCAAGGTTGGGAGGAGAACATGCCAGTCTTCAAAGCGGACTAGATCAGTCAGGGCCTTAACTGTGTGCAGTCTCACTGCACTACTTAGAGGTTGCCACTGTTACAGGATAGAAGAGACCAACATGATAGGCAGGGACTCACAAGTAATGTAGTAATCATGGTGCTTCTTGAACTCCAGGCCCATGTAGTTAGGGCTGAACTCCTGGAACTTGATGGTGAAGCGGATTTCCTGCTCTGGCCGATTGCAGGTGACCAGCACATTGGGGTCAAGCACAGTGCTACAGGCAGCTGCCTGCTCAGGCCGAACCAGGTACAGCTTGTAGTACTCGTAGGGCCGTCCTGCTTCTGCTCGGGGACAGATGATGTCCAGCTTGTCTCCAATCTTTGGGTAGATGACCAGGCCCTTCCCACTCAGGAACCTGCTCAGAAGGGAAGAGAGGGTCAGCCTCAGGGTTGGGGTTTTCAGACCATCTCCTGAGCAAGTAGAGCAGACAATGAAGGCAGGCTGGGCCTCCTGAGTGGAGATGGCAAGAACAGGAATTCTTTCTTTCCTCCATCCTCGTGCTGGGAGTGGGGAGAGAGAACCACACTGCCACCAGGGTGTGGAAGGGGTGGGCCATGGGCAAGGCTGCCAGGCTTTGACTGCTCGGCAGGGTGGGGCACTGCCTAGCTGGGGGAGCCTTTTGTCTTAATGTGGCATTTCCACACGGGGTTGATGTGGCTGATGGGCTGGGTACCAAGGTCTCAGGCCTGTGTTGCCTTGGAGGTGGCACCCCAATCATCCTCCCACCACCATCACACTCACATTCCTTCATAGCCACTGCTACCACCTCCCCTGCACACGTGTGCATATGCATGCATGAATATGTGCACATATACACACAAACCCACACATGCCTTAGCCACCACCCCCACATCTCCCAGCCAATGGCTCGGGGAGCTCAACCTGCTTGGGACCCACACTTTCTCCCCCATCCTTGCTAATCTTGGGCATGATGGGGAGATAGGAACAGGCATCTCCTGGAGCCCAGGTGTAATGGGCACAGTCTCTGACTATGTGAGACTCAACACAGATCTCCCCACTCCCACTGTCCAGTGTCCTACCTGGACATATCGCAGCCCCACCATGCAAGAGTCTGAATCCCCAAACTTGACCAGTCTTACTCCTAAGAACAGAGAGAGGAAAGGGGGCCAAAGCAGAGACAATAGATCATATAATATAGGGCCCCGGGAACCTCTCTCATCTGTGTTCTAGTTCCCCCACTTCCACATTGCCTCTGCTCCAGATCCTGAGAGGAGATAAATGCCATCTGAGCTGGGTAGGTCTTCTATTCCAGAAGGCCAGGCACTGGGGAATAGCAGAGGGAGGGCAGTTGCCCAGGGCCATCTATTCACATCACTATCCTTGCCTAAACACATAGTAAAAAAAAAAAGTGGTGATCTCTTGGCCATATCTGATCCTGCGCAAGCTGGAGCTGGGAGGTAGGCAGTACTATGTAGGAGAAAGAAGACAGACTTTGGAATCAGACAGACAAGGGCCCTTACTAGTTCTGTAGCCTTGGACGTGCTGCCTGTTCTCTCTGAGGTTCTATTTCCTCCCTTGTAAACTATGGGTACAAGGGTGACAAATAAGAAGACAACACACAGCAAGAGTGAACAGCATTTACTTGGGGTGGTGAACACACAATATAATATACAGATGATGTATTATATTATAGAATTGTACATGTGAAACCTATGCAATTTTATTAACCAGTGTCACCCCAATAAATTCAATAAAAATTAAAAATAATAAAAAATAAAATTTAAAAAAGAGTGAACAGCAGTGGCTGGAAAACAAAACCCAAATCAGTGAGTGGCCCAGTGATGGGTTGAGGAAGAGATAGAAAAGCTCAGCTGAGGCCAGACTGAAAGGCTTCAAGGATCACAACCCATACTGTGGGTTTCACCCCACTGGGGACAGACCTTCTAGAAGAAGGAAAATGAAGGGCTTAGGGTAGTACCTCAAGGGAACAAAGCCAACAGTGGAAGAGCATGGTTCCACTTTGTGAGGGTATGTTCCACAGTGGGGACTACAAGGTATGAGGGCCAACTGGGAGCTCTATGTCCTAACCCCAGGGAAGGAAATGACAACCAAGGAGGCAAGTAGGGGAACTAGACCAAGTAGATGAAAGGTATGAAGAAAGGCAGCCCTTTCTTCATGTCGAGTAAGTCTCTACCAAGCTGGGGACTCCCATCTTGCTATGCAGGATGGTAAAAGGCACAACAAGGTCTCCCCCTTGGTACCTAAGTTTGCTGTACCCCAAAGGGCCAGAAAGGAAGCAGGCATGGGATGGGGGCACACATAAACATTTAAGAGGGAACACTCCCACCCCATGCACCATAAAAAGCCAAGATGTTTCACCAAAGCCTCTTAATTCCCAAGGTATTTTTCACTTTCCAACCCTCACACTGGTTCCATCCAGACAGCAAGGTTAGACAACTTCTAACACCTTAGAGACTGAAGGCATCTTCCAGACCCACTGAGCCCAGGCTCCCCATGTGAAGGTATGAGGGTGTTGGGGGCAATAGTCCTCTCTTCAGATGGACATTTCCATTGAAGGAGGTGCTCAGAGCCAACCAGAGGAGACTAAAGTCACCCAGGACATTAACCCTTAAGGCATCTAAGAAAACTGCGTACAGCTGCACCTCAACAAGACCCTACCTGGAGGTGACAGCAGGTACATAGAGGGCATGCAAGGGAGTACAGGCCAGCTTAGCTTTCTAACCACCTGGCCCTGGTTTACTCACCAGGGTGTCCTGTCTACCCTGAGTACAGTCTCCCATCGCCATTCAGGACCTGGAGCCCTAACTGGAACACAGGGATTCCAGCTACTCAGGGCTGTATCTGGACCCCAAAGACATAGAGGAAACAGATGTCTATATAGTAGTGGGTATGGGCGAGGAAAGAAGAGAGGACTATTGCCCCCAACACCCTCAGACTCTCTTCAACCTCAGTTAACAGAATTAATAAATATTCATCAGTTCATTTGCATAGCAGCTGGCAGAGGAAAAAGTACCTTCCCCTAAAGTACAGAAGGGAGAGGAGCCCGAGGAGACCTGTCTTCCCTGACTCTGAACCCCCATAATGGTGCCTTATTAGTACCTTCCCCACCACTGGAAAAACTGCTTCTTAGCCTATGAGAAGCCCAAGAAAGTGGCAAGGGGCCAAGAAAGGTGGGTATGTAGCCAGTGAGAGAGTGAGGCCACAAAGCCATGTACAAACACTAGTCACATTGTACAGGGGGACCCTACAGGTCTCCTCTCATACCAGGTTAGGAGTAGAGGCAGGAGAGGAGGAGGAAGAGTTTGCCCCCAAGTTAAACTCTTTATCTTCCACTTTTCAAAAATTGCTATAGGTCCCAGCTTTCCTGTCTGGGGCCACCCCCAGACAAAGCTCTTTTCTGGAAACTAAGGAGATTGACATGGCCCAGCAGGAAGCCTGAAGCAGGTTGTCATGGTAACCTCTGAGGCCTTCCCTCCTTAGCATCTGATAGCCCCTAGACCCCATGGAGCCACCCTAGGGAGTAAAAGGACTTGGGGAAGGCAGCCTGAGCAATCCAGCTCCTGCCTTGGGACCTGTCTTTTCCCTGCACCCTAGCCCAAGTCTCCCCCACAGCATTTTTACTGAGCTTAGAAGTACTGCTAAAACGAACGGTGGAATAGGAGAAGCCTGAAGGGTCTGGGTAGTAGCCTCTAAGGCCCTGAACTGGTCAGAGACCAACTGTGCCCTGTTTCTTTTGTCCAGCTGAGCCCCTCTCCACCCATACACATACAATCTCCAGTAGGGAGAGCTTTCAGTGTGGGGTCATGCCCAGAAAGCTTGCTCACATTTGACCAAATCTACATTTCCTTTCTCCTCATCCTTACCTCAGGCTCTAGGAACTTGTGCTCAGGGAGTGGCCAAAAGGAGAGCCTGATCTCAGGCCATGCTAGTCCAAGGTTAGTAGAAGAGACTCTAGCCACAGCCTTGATTGGGTGATCCCAGCACTAGTGTGCCTGGACCCCTCAGGGTGGCAGGACCAGTGGAGAGCAGACCCCAAGCCAGAGCTCAAGTCTGCTCTCCTCCCAACAAGGGTGGGGAGTCCTCAAATTAAAGGATCCTCTTTCACTCCCCCAGCTCCACCCAGCCCCTGAGGCGGCAGGAGCAGGCCTGGCATGTCCCAGCAGTGCCCGCCCAGGCGTGGGTGGGCAGGAACAGCAGCTGGGTCCTGGCATACACACAGCACTGTCGGAGACAGGGAAGCCAGGAGAGTCCCAGAGGAAGTCACCCTTCCCACCCACACTTGACTGTGTCCTTCTGTCTGCCCCACCTGGCCAATGCTAGGGTCCACTGGGGGCTTAGCCTTCCCTTCCTCATTGTCTGCTTTCTGTGGGGTCCTTGAGAGGAAGATTCTTGGCCTAGAGAGGAAGCAAAGGTGCTGTTCAGAGCTCAGGAGGAAGACTGCCAGGTAATGAATTGGCTGCCTCTAGTTTAGGTCACCCGAGCAAGCTGCCCTCAGATGTAGGCCCAGCAAATTCAAATGAGGAAGTCAGAGCACTGCTCATCCCACACAGGCAGAGACTGAGTCACAAGGACAGATGCACGCACACCTGTGAGGTGAGAGGGGAATCCAGGGGTTGGGAGCCACTGCCTCTTTACAAACTCCACCTTGAATTCCCATCTCTCCTAGAGTCCAAGACAGCAGAATGGCGTGGGCAGAATGGCACACAGCACAGCTCTACCCTTACAGTCTGACTATAGACAAGTCAGTTCCCTTTTCTGGGTGTATGCCTCCTCATCTGGGAAATGGAGATGATTCCAACTTCCCAGGGATATTGGGAACATCCAATGAACTCATATGAGGATGCTTGTGAGTAGCAAGGTGCTGCCTGTTAGTTAGCACACCAAGCACAGTGCTATTTAGAAGTAAGGACCTTACAGTGCTGGCTGTTAGCACCCCCACCCAAAATGAGTACCATACCAACACACCCAGGAGGGGCTGCTGTGGAGCACAAGGAAAGGAACCCCAAATGTGGCTGGTGAGCATCCCTCCACCTCAGTCCCCTAATAATCACAGGGTGGACCCTCCCCCAAACCTGGTATTCCCATGGCAACCAGTAGCCTCTTTTCTGTAGTCCCAACCCCAGAAAACCATGATGTACAATAGTATCCTGAGCCTGCCCATCATCATCCTCTGAGCTGGTGAAGCAGTGGAGAGCCCGAGGGAAGAAAGGGAGCCCTTGATTCAGCTCCCACCCCAGACCCACAGCCCTTCTACACAGGCCCTTCTAGCCCTGGCCTGGCTGTATGGGGTGGGGGTGGAGAGTGAGAGGAACAGGGAACTCAAGGCGCTGCTGGGTTCCCATCACTTTCAGGCCCCCACCTGTGGCCAATCAGCCACAGAGTAGAGGAGGTCAGGTCCCTAGCCACCCCAGGAAGGGGCCCCATAAGCTGGCCTCCCCAGGACTGCGAGCTGGAACAGCTGTGAGGGGGCTGGGGCCAACACTTTGGCTTGTAGCAGGCAAGCCTGGGTTGGGGTCTGCAGCCGCCCCCACCCATGCTAGATTGAGTCAAGGGTCCTGGACGCCAAGCTGAACCCCCACCCCCATCCCCTTGTAGGAAAGGTGTAATGTGATCTCAGGCACATTCCCACCCTCTGGAGGTGGGGGAACCTGAGCGGGGGGCACGAAGGGGTCAGAAAGGGACTGAGAGACTGAATTGCAGCAGCTGGACTTGGCTGAGGACTCAAATGTGAGGTTTGCCGGCTGCCCCAAGCTCTCAGGGGAAGAAGCTGGGGGAGGGGGCCTCCCTGGGACCTTCCATCACAGTCCCCCACCCAAGCACAGGCATATACACTGGTTCCTCCCAGACTCTAGTTGGACCAAACCCCCCTCCCCACCCTGTGCTCATCGGACAAAACTGACAAGAGGGCAAAGGAGGCAAAAGTTCTTGCCACCCAGGGTCTACCAAACTGGGAGGCCCTAGTGCCAATTGGGAAAGAGGCTGAGAGTCTTGAGCTGGCCCTTCCAGCTCTCCTCTGCTGCTCAGGGCTGAGGTGCGCCCCGGAACGTGGTAACATACTCCTGGCCCCACCACTTCTTTATTTTGATTTTTACCCAAGGAGGAAGCAATTAAGCAGGGTTTATAAGCGCTGGGAGATT